GGGGGGGGGGGGAGCAGTTCTGGAATATCGATGCACTCAAAATATGGGTTGGACCGAATCATTGTTGTCAACGCTTCCATCACCAATACAAACAGGAGAGGGGCCACCGGGTCGCCTTGTCTCATCGACCGGTCGAGGGCAAATGGGGAGTATAGGTACCCATTGACCAGAATGTTGGTTTTGATAGATTTGTTCATGGTGGACACCCAAGCTCTGAAGGAATCACCAAAGTTCATTTTCTGCAGGCAGCAGTCCATGAAGTCCCAATCGACATCGTCATAGGCGTTCTCGAAGTCTATGAACAGCACAACTGCTTCCTTTTTGTGCTGCTTAGCGTATTTTATTGTTTCGTTTACGAGCAACACGTTAGCCTGAAGATTTCTTTGTGTCTGATCCTGGTAGATAAGATGAGTCATATGCAGGAGCAGTCTGTTGGTGAGTGCTTTGGAGACCATCTTGTAAGGCAGGGGATGGGTCTATAGTTCCTAACATCGGTTTTATCACCTTTTTTATACAGAAGTGTTGTGATCCCTTGACTAATTATTCCTCCAAAGGTCCCCTCCGTTCGGACTGCTTGCACATACGCTTGTAGACTTTCTTGGAAAACAGCCAAATTTTGCAAATAAAATTCCTTAGGAAAGGAATCGATGCCTGGGGTCTTTTCATCTTCCATTCCCCTTAAGGCTTTCAGGGGATCATCTGCAGATAAGGGTGCTTCCAGCGAGTCCCGTTGGACTGTTGAGAGCATCGCTGGCAGGTGCTGGAGCATCGTCTGCCTCGTCGGTGCCAACCGTTCAGTGCCCCACTGGCCTTCCGAGGTGTACAATTTTTGATATTGGTCTGCGTAATCGACTATGACATATACGTTGGTTGCCACCGGGAGGGAAGGGTCAAAGGGGTGGCGGAGTGAGTATACGGTTGTTTGTCTAGCCCTGGCCCTAGCCTTCCTAAAGAAGGTTTTTGCCATCGTCCACCTCCGTGTCCTGCTTCCATATGTGTGCCTGAATCCGCCAGGCATCAGCCTGTTCGTCCAAATAGGTCTGTAGGTGCTCCCTAGTCGTCTGTAGGCTTCGTAGGTTGTGTCGTCCAGGGGTGCAGACTGCAGTTGGTTGTTCAGTGCTTCCAGCTCCTTCAACAAGCTGCCCATTACTGGTTTGTCGGCACGCGCGTGATTTATGGAGAATACCCGGTCTCTTAGTTGCGCCACCCCTTCATTAAACCATTCGACAACAAAGTGGGTCATCTCCCATTGTGTCCCCCAATATTGCCAGAATTCCTTGACCGAGGATTTCAAGGCTGGCAGTTTGAGGAGCAGCGCATTAAACTTGTAGAGGCTCAACACTTTCTCAATTGGTGATTGGAAAGAGAGACCCAACACTATTGCCCGCAGAGATGAGCAACGGGTACCCAGACCCACACCCACCCACACCCAACCCACCCACACCCAACCCACCCACGAGGCATTGGGTCAGGTGTGGGTCTTGATAAGTTGGCATAGGTGGGATGAGGGTGGGTCTAGGTGAGCCAGTTTGGGTGGGCGACGGGTGGGTCATTGTTAGGCCCGGGTCACCCGAATGGGTGGGTGACAGGTGGGTGAGCCCTAGGCCTGGGTCACCCAACCCATAGACCCAGGACAACCCACAGATAGTCGGGTTGTACTTTTACAAATTTGGGCGGGTTTGGTGGAGTGCCAATTAAAAAAAGAAATGCTCATCTCTGATTCCGCGATGGTCAAATTTGCAGGCACTAAATGGCATGATCACAGCTATTGTCATCGCCCCAACGAGTTCTTCGGAAATGAGGCACAAGTCTATCCTTGAGTTAGACCTGCCCGCTGCCCCTTTGGACCTCACACAAGTACTAGCTAAGCGCC